ATCAAAAAATTGAAATCTTGCCATTCGCAACAATATGAATGAAGCTAGAATATATTAATTATACTAAGCAAAATAAGCCAACCAGGGAATGACAAATATAATATCATATGATTTCACTGCTTTGTGGTATTTAAGAGACAAAACAGATGAACATATGGGAAGTGGGAGCGCGGAGGTGAGAGAAGAAAGGGAAACAAACTATAGAGAACAAACTGAGGGTTGATGGAGGGAGGTGGGGGGATGGGCTAGATGGGGAATGGGTACTAAGAAGGGCACCTGTTGTGATGAGTGCTGGCTATTGTATGTGATGAACCACCGCATTCTACTTCCGAAACCAATATTGCACTGTGTGTTAATTAACTAAAATATAAATAATAATTTTAAAAATACAAAAGGGAAAAAAATAAAGTAAGGGAAGCCAATAAATTAGCAGCCAGAGTCAAGGGAAAACAGCAATAATCTTATCCACAAAGAATAAATACAGTGAAACCAAGGGGTGTTGCCTCATGGAATTTTAAACTTAATGTGAAATTTTTTTTGCCTCTTAAGATCATGTTTGTGATGATTAAAGCAATAATAAATGGAAAGACAAGTGGAGAACATCCCTGCATTATTTGTCTCTTTAATGGAAAGCTGAGTTTGTGAGGGCATTTGAGAAGCCTGTACAATCACTGAATAGATTAAAGTCCCATTAGGGGGAGGAAAAAACCACTTGGAAACCTGCACAAAAGCTGTATGTTTATTTTCATAAAGAAGAATCTCATAACCAGAGCACACTCATCAGTTTACAATACCTTACCGGAATCACAGTCATTGTTGGTTGTGGGAGGTCTCCAAAGAGATCTGACTGTGGCAATCCTTCTCTGTTGGTGAGGTTTGCTTTTTTATTCATATGGAATAACAAAGATACGCAGGTCAACTGCACAAACACCGTTAATGCATTCTCCTCAGTTGGGGGACCTCGATCCACATATTTTGTTATTACACATCCAGAAGGCAAAATGCTTGTGCTTAACTGCTTTTGTTACTCAAACACGAAGGGGAAAAACACAAAACGACTTTAATTCATTAGAGCGAAGGAAGGCAGTGACTCACCCACAAACTGAAGCAGAATTTTAGCTGATCATTTTGTAAAATTTTAGGAGTAAAAAAATTGTAAGTTTATAATCATAATGAGATCTACACAAAATATGTGTAATCTGTGCAACTTGTTCCATTTTTAAAGATATCTTTATTTATTGTAACAAAAACTCTGGACTTGTGTTTCCCTAAGACTGTTTCATAAAAGAAAAAACAGTGACATTTTCTTTATATACTTGAAAATTCTATCAACTAAACAACATGTACATCAAGATGTAAAAAAAATTTTTCTTACATAATAAAGCTTAATATCCATGCTAAATAGAAACAGAAGTATCATTTGGTGTGCTGAATTTCCACATAGTTTTAAAAAATTTCTACTGCATTTGTGGAAAATGTCATGCAGAGAACTGATACATGAAATATTAGCAACACGACATCATAAACAAACAATAAACTGCCCAGACACATTTGGGTTATATAAAACACAGATCTATTTACTCAAAAGCTATAGTAAACTTTCTGTTTTTTTATCTCAGAGTTAGCACTGATATAGAAGTAAACAAAAACAAAGAACTCTCATAATTTGATCAAAGTACAAATAAATTTTCCTTATAAAGAGAAGTTCGAAACATAAATCACATAAAAATGATAAGCTCAACTTAACCTTTACTTACAACATCAGTAATCACTCATTATCACCGTACATAGTAAAGATTTAAGGCACAAAAAAAGCAGCAAAGCAAAATTCAGGCTAAGTTTTCTCCAAATGTCTTCTGAAATCAACTACGGTCACTCCCTCCTCCCACTTGCCATGACAAAGCTGCTGAGTGGCTATAAGTCATTCAATTAAACTGTGTGCTCTGAGCTGACAAAACTCCACAGAATTCATTTAGTCCCATTCAGAGACTGAAGGTCCATCTGCTGCTGGCTTACGTCAGCAGAGCTCCATCACTTACCTCCTGATTTTATAAATGCTTTATGGTTATCAAGACATTTTAAAATTCTTGCCACGGTGCCTGGATGGCTCAGTCGATTAAGTGTCCGACTTCAGCTCAGGTTATGATCTCACAGTTCGTGTATTTGAGCCCCGCGTAGGGCTCTGTGCTGACCGCCAGCTCAGAGCCTGGAGCCTGCTTCAGATTCTGTGTTTCCCCCTCTCTCTGACCCTCCCCTGCTCATACTGTCTCTCTCTGTCTCTCTCTCTCTCAGAAATAAATTTAAAAAACATTAAAATTCTTTCCTACTTCCCATTTTACAGGATGTTCTCCCTCTTCAAAAACAGTATTTCCTCCTTCATCAACATGTGGGGACACATTTTCATTCTCTACCCAAGTCACTTAGACTTCATGGTAGGAAATACACAAATTTAATGTGGGAAGAACAAAAATCATACCCATATCCTTACCAGGGTAATTTCTGAAAAGCAAGAATCTTAAGAGTATTTAAAAAACTGATATTTAATAACAAAGAACTTATATGCTCATCGCTTTAGAAAAAAACCGACTAACCTCAAAAAAAAAAAAAAAAAAAAAAAAAAAAAAACAAAAGAAAGTGGTGCCATTCCAGGACCTTACAGTCACCCAAGGAGGCTATAAAGCTCAAGCACTGACCTGGAACATTATAGATAGAGTGGTGAAGTAGTCAGTCTGTCTTTTATTCTATTCATAGTGAACCTGGTACCAAAGACAGTCCTCTATGCATTCATGTAAATCATATACACACATTCATAAACAATGACAACCTTTTGCCAGAGCCTTTGTTAGTATGAAATATTCTGCACCTAAAGCATATGGTACTTAAGGCTGGTAACAAAGAACTAAGGAACTGTACTCTCTAGTTACTTCAGGAAAACAAGATTATCCATCTACCTATCTACCTATCTATCCATCCATCCAGCTACCGTCTATCATCTATCTTTCTATGTATTATCTACATCTATCTATCATCCATCTGCAATCACCTCTCCCTAGAATAATTTTTTCTTTAAAATTCTGGTAGCTTTCTTTAAAAATTTTAAATCTAGTAAAGCCTTCAGGAAACGAGTTTTAAAGCACCATGATATATATCATTTCTTAGCATTTCCTCTCCACGTGTTCTTACACATTGCTTCTCAAAAGAGCCTTATTCTATTAATAATGCTGTGCCTGAGGAGGCCTTTTCAAGACTTTAAAGTGTGTGAGTGCATCTGTATGAGTATTTGATATGTATATGTGCATATCTATATATATATATATTCTATTTCTGTTCAGATTGGCAACATCAGATGTGATGCTTTCTCTTTAGTAACTTAATCTGCCTTTAAAAACGTTGCTTTTGATACTTACCGAGCAAAAATAAAAGGGCAGAGCTAATTCTTAGGAGAGTCAGTTAATAACATAAAAATGCCTGCCTGACGTTCTGTGGCAATTTGGAATACACGGACGTTTCCTAGGCGAATGAACTTTTTCCCTTGTGTATCAGGTAGGTGGCTTCATGAAATGTCCGAGGATGTTGGTATAGGAGTTACAAGCTGGTGTGAGTTACAAATTGGTGTGTGAGTTACAAGCTGAAACGACATGAATAATTTTGCAGTAGTATGGCTTCACAGTCGTAGGCCCACAGAGCTATCTCACGGACTCAGAGCCACATATATGGAAGACGGTTCTGTCTCTGCAGACCACAGGGGCCAACAGCTTCAGAATAAAACAGGAGGTGTGAGGGTGTCGTGTTCTTCCTGTGAGTCTGGCATATTCGTGTACTCCCCCAAAACACATAGAGGAAAAAAAATGTCTTGGTAAGTGAAAAGTTACTTGATGGCTACGGAGAATATAAGGGTTACCGTATGGCCACGGTCTCATGTTTTATAACTAGAAATCGATGCTCAGTAGCTGTTTAACAGAAACTACCGCCAGATGAAATCTCCTTAGAGTGAAAATGACATGAGCTGAAATCTGTATTTGCTCTGCGAAACTCTAATGTTCCAATTCAACTAAGAAACCAGTTGTTTACAGATGTCTTAAAACCCAATTAAGTTTGAGAAAAGAGTTCCATAAAACTACAAATGTGGAGTCTGTACACACAGCCTCACAAAGAACTGACATCATAAAGCATTCCCTTGGTAATCACCTCAGAGCTCGGTGAGTGTTTCACAGCCTCCTCTCGCTTGGAAACAAGACCCGAAGCCTAACCAGTGTCTTCTGTTCACTCACATAAATGGTCCTCAAATCTGTGAGTCTCAATTACTAACTTGTGACATGGAGGCCACCATTCCCACGGAGAAAATGTCCACATGTGGGAAGTGAATCAGCTTTTGTCACTTATGTTGACATCATCTCCAAAATCACACCCACATTTTCCATCCTCTGTGAATGGGGTCTTCCCTGATCTGACCATGCTCTTTTATTCATGGTTTTGTTTTTTTTTTTCCAGTAACATACGTTTGCAGAGTATCTTAAAGTGACTAGTTGTGGTACCTTCCCTCAACTTAGGTCACAATTACATCTTGTCACCAGGTGGTAACATGGGCACATCTAAGACAAGAATTCTAACCCAATTGTTCAACTTATTTTGCTGCCATTATTATGGCCTATCACCTTCTTCAAGTGTTTGTATACTTTGTTCTTCATGTCAGACAACATTGTGCTTCATGGAGATGCCTCTTAAAAACTTCCTGAAAACCTAAGCTTTATAGTAAAATGAAGAAAAGAACATGAAGAAAAAATCAGATATTTCTATTAAAGCAGAAGAGAAAATAAAGAAAAGTGAAAGGATCACCTTGATAATCAGGTATAACTTGTTGTATTCAATGCCTGATTTCTAGAAACTATTTACAATCATTAACCCCAGGCCCAGGAGTACCAAGGGAATTTAACATTAAAACACCAGCTAGTCCATTTCACTTACAACACAAGATTCTTGCTGGTAGTCTATAGTGCTTGAAAAAAATAAGCCTACTAGTAAAAAATGCAATCTAGATTTTATACTAAAAATACAGACCCCCCCCCATTTACAATACATCTCCCCAGATTAATAATATACTCCTCTATCAACCTCTTTCCAATACTGTTGCATTATAGTATCTGCTTATGCTTCCTATTAATAGAAAATATTCAAATAGCTTCTAGGAAAAATACATTAGTTTCCTATAGCATTATTAAGTGCTTGATACAACTACTTTTATTCCAAGTGATTGCACAGAAAACCTGGAGTGGAAGAAAATCTTCTAAACTTAAGATTAATAATGAATTCTATGAAAGCACTAGAAATTTTCTTTTCAAATTTATAACATCTACATAATTAACAAAAATAGCCTTTCATATGAGAAAAATATATTATTTCTATATTTAAGGAAGATCTGCATCATCTCCTAAAAATTCAAAAAACTAATACAATTATGGTTCTCCCCACATATACCTACCTAATAAGGTCACTGCAGGAGGATTTAATTAGCCCACAAAACTCTAATAAGGAACCGGCTTCATGATGACAATTTAAACATTTTTCAACAATTTCTATCATGTGGAGGAATTATATAGGGAGGAATCTGCTTCAAGGTCTAAATATAACTGGCCATTAAAATAGACATTTGCTAATATCCCTACGGGCAACAGTATGACAAGGCTAATCCTAATAGAAATAGAAACCTTAGTCCAAAAAGCAAGTTAGAGCAAGCAGTGATAAACTCCCCATAGAGCCTCGTCTTTTTTTCCTATTACGCTTTCTTGGGGTTTTTATTTGTTTGGCTTTGTAGGGGTATTTTTGTTTTGGGTTTTTGTTTTTGTTTTTGTTTTGTTTTTGTAAAAAAACAATTTGGAGAGAATTCAAGCTTTAGACTAGCCAATATTGAGTCTTCTAAGATTACCAGAATTTTTAAACCATCCAACCAGGCTTGTGACATAACTGGGTTAAAGCCTTTCTAATTCATGTAAAACGGGGTCTGGGATAAGGAGGAAGAAAGGAAGGAATGTCAACAAGTCACCAAAACATTTCTATCAACTTCCATGTCTGAAACTACACTACAGTTTGTTTATTCAAGAGTTTATTGCTTTTAAAAATATAGTACATGCTTTCCTATTATCATTTCTTTAAAATGCTATGCCTTCCTAGATAAGTGCTTTAGAATAAGCTCCCCTCTAATAACTTCACTTCTAAATTTGTAGAAAAGTACACAGTAGGTGTGGTCCTATTCTTCTGCACTGCTTCCAAAGATGAGTGGCCAATTGTAGTCCAGTGCACATGCCCCTCTATCCCTCTTAATGCTTCTAAATGGCTTTTAAAAACATATCCCATGAAAAGAAGCCACTCTCCTTAAGTAGCTATTCAAAATCATCTAATCTTTCCATTAAGCCTCTAATCTTAAAATTCAGTAGGTAGTAGTCAACCGTATCGTCACATTATGTTCCGCAATAACTATATACTTATCATTCAAGTATTGTAACCCTTCATTTTTTCTGATAATCGATGCACTCTCTTTTTAGAAACGATCTATGCTACGACGGCATAGTCCTTGTTTTGTTCGTTGTTCTCATTTTCTTGTGGACTGGTGATTTTCACTTCCGGTCTCGGTGGTCTTTGAGGGTCTAAGTCAGCCTGGAAGAAAAGAGATCAAGACAAAAATGTTTATCAGCTCTTTAGTTACAAAGGCCACATAGTTCACAAGGAAAAACATTATTCAATATTTCATGTAATCATATAAACATTCAACCAACAATAGTCCCTTGGCTTCTGTTTGTCTTGCGGTTGGTCATTACCCAGTGAACACACCACTCTCAATACCTTACTTGCATCAAATGCCTTCCTGGGACCATAATCCCCGATGCACTTTAAGAGCACAGACTCATTTCTTGCGCTACAGGCTTTAGTTTTCTCAATTTTTCTTCTTGATTTCACTTTAAGTTTTTCTTTTCAGCAGCATGTTTATACTTTTCTTTTCAGCATTTTAGGAGAAAAGGGGAAAAGTCCAACTGCAATCCCACCCCCAGGGCACATTACCCCGGCCCGACCCCTCTGTTGGTTTCCTACTAGAGCTCACGAGTTCATGAATATGGTACCCAGTGAGATGAGAACAGGAGAGGAGATCGAGTACGGGGGCGGCATTTCTCCAGGAGCAATGGCATCTCTGCCACTGGGACTTCGTTTCTGGTGTTAGGAATGCTGTCCTGTGCAGTCTGTCTTTCTCCCACTAGACTGAAATCCAAGGGGGAGGAGATTAGAATCAGTTCGTTTTCCAGCTCTGCTCCACGGACTCTTGGAGGCTGCACAGCCCCCACAGGGGCCACCAGTGTGGGGACAGGAGGAATGGCTCCAGGGCCCCTTCCTCTGCAGCCATGCCACACGCTCTAAAAATGAAAACAAAAACTGCTGGGACTGTCTCTTACTTCACATTATTATGCCATGAAGTGTCGCAAGTAGTATTCTGAATATAACACAAGCTCACTAAAACGTCAGCTGAGGGCGCCTGGGTGGCTTAGCGGCTTAAGCGTCCAGCTCTTGGTTTCAGCTCAGGTCACCATCTCACGGTTCGTGGGTTCCAGCCCCGCATCGGGTTCGGTGCTGACGGCACAGAGCCTGCTTGGGATTCTTTCTCTCCGCCCCTCCCCCACTTGTGCTGTCTCTGTCTCTCTCAAAATAAATATATAAACTAAATTTTTAAAAAGTCAGCTGGTTGTACATTTGACACGTGCTTCCCGACGCTTCCTACAATCACAACACACGGTGACTGTAAAAATGGTTACCTGGAACAAAATGTCGCACGACAAACTGAGTCTTCAGTCATTGCAGAAGTAAAGAATCCTTCAGAAAAAGTTACTTTTTAATGTATAATTTATAATTCATATAAACCTTGTTATGCATATATTCAATATGCTTAAAACGTACCTGAACAGGTACCTTGGGGAGAAAGAATCAACACATCACTTCCGTTCTAAGAGAGATGGGTCAGACTGTGGGAGCTGCTCTGCTCCGCCATCTGCGGAGTTCTTAAAACCCCCAGCTCATAACATATCAGGTACTTGTTCATTTGCAATTCCACAAATTTAGATTCACCGTCCATACATACCAGGAACACTTGTACTTCAAAGTATGGATGCTTGATCTTGACTGAGGCCCAGTTCTTATAAAAGGTCTTTTTTGAGGGCACTTGTGGGGATGAGCACTGGGTGTTATAAGGAAACCAACTTGACAATAAACTATTTAAAAAACTAAAAAATAATAAAAAATAAAAGGCCTTTTTTTTTTTTAACGTCTACTTATTTATTTTGACACAAAGAGAGAGAGATGGTGGCGGGGGGGGGGCAGAGAGAGAGAGGGAGAGAGAGAATCCCAAGCAGGCTCCTCACTCCAACATGGGACTTGAACTCACGAACCATGAGAAGGCAGCCTGAGCTGAAATTCAAGAGTCAAATGCTTAACTTACTAAGCCACCCAGGCAGCTCCAAAAGGCCTATTTTTAAAAGGGGCACCTGGATGGCTCAGTCAGTTAAGTGTCTGATTTTGGCTCAGGTCATGATCTCATGGTTTGTGAGTTCAAGCCCTGCATCAGGCTCTGTGCTGATAGCTCAGATCTTGAAGCCTGCTTCCTATTCTGTGTCTCCCTCTCTCTCTGACCTCCCCTGCTCATGCTCTATATCTCTCTCACATTCTCAAAAAATAAATAAACATTAAAAAAAAAAAAAAAGCTAAGCTTACAGAATGGAAGCACAAGCAATCCATTCATTTCTGTCAAATCTATGTAGGGTATAACATTGAATGACAAGCTAGAGCCCTGGGAAAGTACAGAGTTGGATCTTATGATCTAGATCTCATACACGATTTACACTTTGATTTCCTGCTACAAACTTCCAGCAAAGGCAACTACAACGAAGAACTTCACGAAGTCTACTATCATAGTTACCATATAAATGAGGACACTGTTTTCTATGTTGTCGTGCTTTCCTCAGGATACCCTCAGATAAGCCATCCTGCTTCCCGAGAGAGAGAGAGAGAGAGAGAGAGAGAGAGAGAGAGAGAGAGAGAGAGAGTGTGTGTGTGTGTGTGTGTGTGTGCTCCTTGAGAAGTTCATTTTGTTTCCTTATTGAGAGAAACAGAATCATGTAATTGAATTCTTCTTTGAATGTTAGCTACAAACAACTTCAGGACACAAATTTTAGCTAAATTTTAGTAACTCTGTGGAATGGCATACGGGGACTTTCTCCCTGACCACCACTGTGATTCTCTCATCTCGAGGAAAGCTGAAGCAGGAGGCGCACTGAGTGTTGTCATTTACATATTGAGAATGTTTTTGTAGAAGCCAGACAACAGATTACAGGTATCTGTCCTGGTTACTGAAACTTGACCACAAGAACATTTTGCATTTTACCATGACTAAATTCTAACCCACCCTAAGCAAAATAAAACAGATGAGTGAAAATACTAAATCATCAAGAAAAGCCCACTCATCACATGGGGCATCAGGAATAAAGAAAGTGAGGATACAGCCAGAGGGAAGTGGGCCCTGAAAAGAGGGACAGTCAGGAAGGAAGGGCACACGCAGATGGTGAGCCTGCTGTGGGGTTCATCCTTCCTCTTATATGCGAAATTGAACTTGAGCCTGTTCATTAGCCTCTGATTTAATCATCTGTCCTCTGATAGGATGCCAGCACTGGAGCATATCCCCCTGCTTGCCCAGTGGGGTGAACACAGGCTAGGAAGAGGCCTCACCACATGTTTCCTTACCCTTTCTGTGTGATAAGTGGAACTATATATTATTAAATGCCTGGTGCATAGAACACTTAATTCAATTAATCCATTTAATGTGGACTAAACAAGCTAAACTTTAACATCTCTAGAGAGCAAAGATGTCACATGTGACAGAGGTGATGTTCTTTCTTTCATGCCTAGGTTTCATAATCTTGATGTTCGTTTCTGCTCCATACCTTCCTCAGTCTTAACTTATTCGTATTTGTTTATATGTGTTATATACGTTCTCAGGAGCCTCTGCAAGCTTTATAGAATGAGACAAGGGATGAGTGGATGCATGGATGGATGGATAGGTGGCTAGGCGGACAAGTGGTTGGAAGTGCAGGTGGCTGGCTGTGTGAGTGGCTGGCTGGATGGATGGATGGGTGGGTGGGTGGATGAGTGGGTGGGTAAATGGGTGGACAGATGGGTGCATGAGTAGATGGATGGATGGATGGATGGATGGATGGATGGATGGATGGACAGACGGACAGACGGACGGAGATGGGTGGGTGGGTGGCTGGCTGGGTGGGTGAGTGGATGGATGGATGGATGGATGGATGGATGGATGGATGGATGGATAGACGGACGGACGGACGGACGGACAGACAGACGGGTGGGTGGGTGGGTGGGTGGATGGATGGATGGATGGATGGACGGACGGACAGACGGACGGACAGATGGGTGGGCGGCTGGCTGGGTGGATGGAAAGACATGTGAAGGGATGACAGAAGAGATGCATGGATTCTTTGGAGATGATTCATCTGGTGGATAACATACTTGTTACCTGACTGAAATAATACAGTCAAGGCTTTGGGTCATTCCCTGCTCAACAAGAAGTGGTTTCAAGGAAAGTCTCAAGTGTTTGAATAATTCTCTAAGTGCACAAGCATGCATACCACACACACTTTCACACGTGAACACAAGTGAGCAAAAGCAATAGAAATACCTCATCTTGTCCGCTGCCAGCTCCTTGAGACTTTACTTCTTTGTCCACTGCATCCTGAAGCTCCGTAACCTGATCCAGCTCTTCGCCATTTTCTTCATCAGTGCCTCCATTACTGCGAGTGGGACCCGCCTGCCCCTCGCTGTGATCGGGGACCTCCTCGACTTCCTCAGGGGCATCTGCAGCCTCCCCACCTGCTCCCTCTTCAACTTGGCCATTCACTCCTGAAAAATCTTCTTGCCCCTCACTGTGATCGAGGACCTCCTCAACTTCCTTGGGGGCATCTGTGGCCTCCCCACCTGCTCCCTCTTCAACTTGACCGTTCACTCCTGGAAAATCTTCTTTCTGCTCTGCTTCCTTGTTGGCTTTCTCTCCATCTTCTTCCTCATCTACTATTTCTGCTGGCCTCTGGTGGATCAGAATGAGCAATGGATATAAGTAAGAAGTGTGACAGAGATTTTCCACTGCACAGTATAATGCCGTAGTCATTATTCTGCTACTGTCAAGTAAAGAGTCCTTCTGTGTGCACACAACGTGCTAACCTTTCCTGAGTACCTACTGAATGCGACCCTTCCCAAGGATTTCCTCATTTCCTCCTCACTACCATCCTGTGACGTTGGTATTATTCGCTTTTCACAGGTGAGGAAACGAAGGTACAAAGAGACCAAATGTGTAGCCCAAGACCCCGCTGTGTATCAGCGGTAGAGCCCAAATTGGAACGAAGCATGTACCTCCAGACCAGTGCTCTGAAGCCCCATGGCAGAGAGGAAGCCAGGCTGCAGGGTCCTTGGCCCATATCTCGTGGAGCAACTGGCCCAGAGGAGGAGGTTAAAACAAAAAGTCTTTACAGAGAAATCACCATCCTTGTGGCTGCTGCCAGGTGTGTAGCTACATCTCCAAATACTAAAAGAGGGCAACGGTGGCGGTCCCGGAATGTGAACCGAGGCTTTCTAACACCACACGTGGACCACTCTCCACACAACGCCCGGGTGTTGATGGTGTGTCTCTAAATACAAGAGCAGTCCTGCAGATCCAAGGCCAAGAAAGTATGTCCTTTCCATAAAAATAGTTAGTGCTCAAGAATTTATAAGCTCAAATGAGGCAGTTTATGGTTATTTGGGTACATGTACATCTGCTTTAAAAGCCATCAGGGGGCCAATGACCAGAGCTAAGACCCTGGAGAAAGACCCAGGTTCAAACGCTGGCCAGACACTTACTGTTACCTAACTTCTGTGAGCGCCAGAACCCCCATTTATAAAACGAGAGTATCATAAAACATCCACATCCACGGAGAGTCAGCAAGAGACGTGACATGCAGTGCCTACCAAAGTCGCTGCCACGTCACATCCCCAGGAAACATGAGAGTCACCCCCCTGTGTCTGATACATTCCGTCCCGGAACACTCCTATTTCTTCATGGTCTCCAATAAAATAATAGCTTTTTTTTTTTTCTTTTTTAAGTATAGACGGGATTTGTTCCAAGTCAGGCCCCTAGGCCTGTCTCTGTCTGGCTGATACTGGACAGGTCATGTAGTCCCTCAACAACTATGAAATGACAGTTTGAGGGGCACCTGAGTGGTCCAGTCAGTTAAGCTCAGGTGATGGTTTTGGCTCAGGTCATGACCTCACGGTTCGTGAGATCGAGCCCTGCGCTGGGCTCTGTGCTGGCAGCACAGAACCTGCTTGGGATTCTCTCTCCCTCTCTTGCTCTCTCTGCCCCTCCTCCACCTTTCTAAACAAACAAACAAACAAACTTAAAAAAAAATTAAATGAGGGTTTGAGTTGCAATCCACCCTGATTCTCCCCCTCCTTCCAGCTCCGGAAGACCACGCACAAGCTGCCCACATGCTCGTCGTAAGGTCCTAATCGTCTTCTTGGCAAAAGTTAACGTAATGTTCTCCATTTCTCAAGTAGAGAAATGAAACAGAGTGGACGAAAAGTTCAGGGCAAAACTCCACACATTATTTTGAAAAGGAAAGAGCTGGAGCTGTGAAGTCTCATATCCTGTTCAGTTGGGTCTCTGACTTGTCTGCACAGTATCAAAGATGCACTTTTTAGGGGCGCCTGGATGGCTTGGTTGGTTAAGCATCCAACTCTGGCTCAGGTCATGATCTCATGGTTCGTGGGTTCGAGCCCCACGTCGGGCTCTGTGCTGACAGCTCAGAACCTGGAGCCTGTTTTGGATTCTGTGTCTCCCTCTCTCTCTGACTCTCCCCTGCTCACGCTGTGTGTCTCTATCTCAGAAATAAATAAAAAAATTTTTTTAAAAAGATGCAATTTTTTTAAAAATGAAGGAAAAAATTAGTTGTTTTTGATATTCCAATAACCATGGTGTCTGTCATCCTGCAGCTTAAATTACAGCACAGTGAGGCTGCGCCCTTCCCATTTCCATGCAGATGCTTAACGTCAAACAGCGTGGGGCCCCTCAATCCCTGAGCTTGCTGTCCCGGGCCAGGCTCTCAGGAAGGCCAAGTGCTGGACAGAAAGGGGCACAAAAACATGGTGAATCTGCCAGGCGCCAGGCGGTGCCAAGGGGCAAGACAAGGATTTATGAAATGGAAACCAAAGGAAGGATGGTGAGAAAAATCTACAATTTCTGAAAGACAAAGCAGTCTGTTCCCGCCTCCGCAGCCCTGTCCCTCCCTCCCTCTCTCTCTCTCTCTCTCTCTCCCTCCAGAAAACAATGCACAGCAAAGCCCTGGGGAAGACACACCCAAGCCACTAGCAGAGGGAGGGTCTGGTGAGTGAGGGGTGGGCGCTGTCACCACAACAGCAGAATGGGGGGACATCCCGGGCCAAAGGTGGCGTGTCTGCGTCCCTGAGGAGCAAGGGCTTCCAAGGGGCCCCCTCAACAGGACACTAGGATGGAGAGGGGACTCGGGCGGGAAAGAGCCAGAATAAGGGGCCAATGCAGAGAATCACTGTGGGTGGCTTCTCACTCACGTGTCACAAGAAGCCAAGAAAAGGCCACAGGGTCCCGAGCCCTGAGACAGCAGGCTCTGTTCTTAGTGACTCTGAAGGACATGAGGGTATTCACTGTGTGACCCCAAGAGACACCCAGAGGAGGGCTCTGTCACACGTGAATGGACCCAGAGCACCCCTTGTGCTGAGCAGCACCCTAGATGCTGGGCATTGAGAGACAAATACGACAGACAGCCTCTGGCATCCAGGAGCTCAGAGCAGTAAGGTAACAGGCGCATTAATGTATCAGGACAGGGACCCTCCATGCTAGGCGTGGCGGCCTCTGGTGGCGGCAACTGAAAGCCCACGGGACCGCCTCTCACAGGTGCGGTATGAATGTGGAGCACCTGTCAGAAGGTCGTGCCCTGGGCTTATCTGTTCGTCGCTTGGTGAAACCCTCGTACCAACCCTGCGGGGTCGGCTTCGCATTCCCGGTCACATGCGGGAGGGGAGTGAGGGGCCGCTCTACGCTTCCCGCACCAGCATCACGTGGTGGGGAACAGGAAGGGCCAGGACTTGAACCCAAGGCAGTACTCTGTCCCAAAGTCCTGGTTTTCTTCCTTCAAGAAATAACTGGAGAAGCTGCCGTTTCACCTGGTCGCTACCGCAGGTACATTCAAGTGCACTTTCAGCGGCCAGAAGACGGGATGCAACAAGGCAAAACTGCTTTTCATGTTTAAATAATTACTAACCCCAAAGCACAAACATTTCTGGATTTCTATTAAAGACTTTTGCTGTGATCTAGGGAGGGAACACTATAAAGACTGCTAGGCAGAGTCCCGGAGCCATTACATAAACAGAAAGCAGAAACAGCACCGCACGGCCGGCCAGCAGGGGCCGACTGCCTTGCCGGTTATTCCTGAGAACAAGGCGGTCGCGCTCCACCCTCCCGGAAATGGTCAGTGAACCTAAACTTGCCCCACGAACACCAAGGCTTGGTTTTGGTTTCGAAGGGAAGTGATATAGATTTTTTTTCAATAAAAACAAATATTTAATAACAGTAGCAGAGAAAACTCAGAATTCACCGGGGTCATTTAGGAATCTGGATCTGTCCCCGGTCTCTCTGGAGGCATATTCCAAGAGCTCGCTCAAGTCTGCTGAGGTGACTTACTTCTGTTTCTCCTGAAGTCGGGATTTATAGCTAATGTTGCAAAACGAGTGGGAGTCGGTTTTCCGTTTTTACTTCTGTGTTTCGCATCCTAGTCTCCTTCACTCCCAGCTCCCAAACACGTACAGCGTTTCCTCCCTTGCACTCGAGCGGCGGGGACAGACCGCAGCCTCTCTACAAGGAAGGAGACGCCGGCCCTGAACCGAGGCTCTGTTCTCCCCTCGCACCAGCACTCACACGCGGGGTTACACTTCCGTCCCGTTCTTTCTGTTAGACTTTCCCGACAGGGCTGTTGTACAGGCCTCACACGACGCCACATCTGGTTAGCTCGACGTGACGAAATGCGAAAGATCAAGGCGCGCTACCATACCGATCTGACCAATTTAAATAAGACGGTAGCGTGAGTTAAAAAGTGCATAATCCTTTAAAATGTCCTGAGTGTAGAAGACAATTTATTATTACTGCAACACTACAATTCAGGCCAAAACACAAACAAACAAACAAAAGTTCTGCCATGACAGATCTGTAATGAATAAATGAAAAGCAATGTGCTTTTTGGTGTAATCTCCTTTGAAGCAGGCATTAAATTATTAAAGATGCTTCCAGTGCACACATCAATCAAATCATCCCCAGAAGGAACACTGGGTTTCTCTCTCTCTCTCTCTCACACACACACACACACACACACACACACACACACACAGATAAAATCTACACCGTGTTGAAGGCCTGCAGAGAAACAAAAGAACACGCCTTCCACAAGAGGAAGGGGGCTGGCGGTGGGAGGGAGCGGTCCTTTGGACACCGAGGAAGAGAAAACCGGTCAGCAGGACGCACATTTCCTCCGTCCTTTCCCTCTTCTCTCCAGGGCGACCCTGCTTCCGCACGTACAACCCCGGCCTGGCGTTAGGGCCCCGGCAGTGGGCGCCCACAAAGGAGAGTTCACGCGGGAGCACGCGGTCCTTAGGGGGTCGTGGGGGCGGCCCCCCCCGGGCGGGCAGGCGGCTCTGCGCGAGGCCAGACACAGAGTCGCGGGCTGTAGGACTTCCCTTCCACGCACCGCTCAGAACAGGTGGGACCACAGAGCTGGGAAGCGGAGGCGTGGCGGCCAGGCTTGGGGACGGGGGGGGGGGAGACGGCGACAGGCTGCTTACCAGGCCTGAGGTTTCCTTTCGGGGAGACGGGAGACGCCCTGGGACTAGACAAGCGTGGCACGGTATCGCGGGTGTTCTGGAGGCCACAGAACCGTGTATCTAAGAACGGTTAACGGTTAGGGGCGTCGGGGCGGCTCAGTCGGTTACGCATCTGATTCCCGATTTCGGCTCAGGTCATGATCTCTC